TTGAAAGAAAAAATGAGGGGTTTCTTCCTATTGTTATTAGAAAAGTGGTTTTAGCATTAGAAAAATCAGAAAATATACAAGCCAAAAAATGCAATGATGCTGTGTACACATTTTATCAAACGTGCATAGATTATCTAAATAATTGGGACATGTTTTTTATTGAAATAGAGATGTTTGAATGGGTCACATTATGCGAAGTCCTTTTGTGGGCGAAAGTAGAGGAAAGCTATATCTTTATTTTGAATCATTGGTCCATAAATATACTCGATGGTGAATTATTTGATGAAGTTTCATGTGTAAAAAAATATGTCACAAACGAAAAGATCGACGAATGGTGACAGAATAACCAGCACTGCCATCAAAGGTGGATTGAGATTTTTGAACATTTTACAGCAAAAGAAATTGTTTCCAAAAACATTTGTAAAATCGTAGAATTTTCTTTGTCTCCCTGGATCTAATGCCCCCATCGAACGAATATTTTTGTTGGTGAATAATATACGGACGAATGAAAAAAAACTGATTTAAAAGTAAGCACATTAGAAGCATGTATTTCCATCAAATACAACATTCAAATGAACTGTATGGAATTTTATGACTTTAAAACGTAAAACGGCGCTATAAAAAAAAATTAATTCTACTGAAAATTATCAAAATTAATGTTGTTTAAATTTTTACAATGTGTGTATGTGTAATAATTCAGATTGTTTAAAATTTTAATGTATGCATTGTTGTATGCTACTATTTTCGTAATAAATGTTATAAACTTATGAATTTTATAAGGTATTTTTTGATTTTCATCGATATGTCCTTTATTTTCCCCCAAAAAATATGGTCACTGTAATTATAGGCCATCCTCAAGCTTACGATTATCGTTCCAAAATAGAATGTAACGTTTTTCGAATAAATTTCATTTTTAAATTTAAAGATATAGAATAATTGGCATGGTGGATAGTTTACATTATAGTTTGTATATTTTAATTTGGAAACATTAATAAAATAATAATATATAATTAAGATTGCACTTACTGTTTGTAATTGACTCTGAAGTTGCCAAGTGTCTTTAGTATAACCACACTTTCTTTCACCCTCCAAAAATGAAACCCATATACGACTAGTTGGTTCACTTAATACTATACGTAGCAATTGAATGTCTGGAGTTTGATTACTACCCTGGGCTGCAAATCCACTCAATGCAACTTTACTCACATCTTCTAATATCTAATAAATATAAATTTAAAAAACTGACAATTTTAATAACATTTTTTAAAAAGCTATAAAAATACATGTTATTCTAGTATTGACATCAATTTTATCTGATTTATATGGCATTTAGAGCATTTCTTACTTGAAAATTTTAGAATATAAAATAGAATTTCCAAAATCAGATTAAATTTACGTCAATTATTTAATATCCTTTATAAATCATTTTTTAAAATTTATATCCCAAAACATTTGTTGTACTACTACTAGTATTACAGTCTTATGCATATTATAAAATAATTATTATAGTTTATTCATTTAATTCAGCTGATTTATTTTTAAAATTATTTTATTAATAACATGTTAAATGCAAATACCTGGTACTGTGATGGTTTATTTGTATTAATAACATGACTATTTGATTAAAAATTAACAGACATTTTCAGTAGGATTAGTAATTACTTAAAAAAAAATAAAAATTAAGAACTTTTAGCTCTTGATAAACTGCAGATTTATTTTAACTAATACAGTATATTAGATGATCATAAAAATTAAGCAAAGACTCCATCTTTAATTGTTGATAATGTTTTATATTCAAATTATGAAATAATTGTTTTATTTCATATATAACTTGGCATCATATATTTAAATTCAAACATATTTAAACAGCATAGTTATATAGATAAAATGTATTTCAAAAAACTTTTTTTGGTTTACAGTTTGGTCAGCATTAGCTGACAATGCACACAACTAAAATGAAAAACTCTCATATGATGAACTAGAGTTACAATAGCCAGAAGTTTCTGCTAAACCTCATCTATTGTTGGTGTTTCTAGTGTGTTACAAATTTGGAGAAAGGTTAGAAGTTTGGCAAAATACAAATAAACAAAGATTGTGCCATAAAAAACTGTAAACTTACATTAATGTAATATCTTATTAAAGAAAAATGTAACTGTTATTTCAAAATTCCTATAAAACTATATTTGCTGAATTAATTATAATAAAGTTTTATTATAGTACTACTGAATGATCTTTTGTGGTTTGTACTAGTCATTCAGCAATATTATTGTTCCTAATTTTCACTAATGCATTTATATGTTATTGCTTTGTTTAATACTGATTTAATTTCATTTCTTTTGACTTGTACAATATTATGCTAACATTTTATAATGTAATCTTGCTTATCTGTACTTTTGTCAATTCTTCACTTTTCTCCAAATTTGTAACAGGTTAGTAACACTAGTAATGGGTGGAGTTCAGCAGCAACATTGAGCCATCCTAGGCCCATTCCATAACTAAAACAAAGAGTATTTCTACAGTGCTCTTCTTTTTAGTTATGCACATCATTAGCTAATGTTGACTGAGCTACAAGCCAAAAATGTTTCTCAAGTAAATTCAAATTTTCAATTTCATCAAATAAACAATATAATTTTCCTTAAATATAAGCAAATTATATATTATTTTACAATAAATGATTCAATATTTCTTATAATTAAATCATTATCTTTGAATATCTGTATACTATTTAAAAATTTAAAACAAAATATGAACAATAAAGCTTCCTATATGATTTTTTTTCATGTATGAACAAATACACATTCTTAAAGTGATGACTCACCTAAAAAGCATTTTTGAAAAATAATTAAAAAGAATAGTAAAAAATATTATAAAGAAATCAGATGTAAGCAATCATTTTTTTCTATTATCATCATCAAAAGAAGGATCTAGCTTTGTTAAAATTTTAATGAAAGTTAATATTTAATTCAACTTGAGTAAAAGTACATCGAATTTTGTCTGATATTAACAAAAAAATTTAACAGATCTATTGTTTATTTTCATTCAGAAATTAAAATAATTTACTTCTTAATGAAATTATTATCATTAATGGAATGAATTCAATATAATGACTGCCACTAATCAGCGTGATAATTGTAAATGATAGCTAAATTCAAATAAAAAGCAAATCTTCATCCAAAAAGATAGCATTACAATAATATCATTCACTATTTAATTATTCAAACTGATAAACCTTTAGTAATAAATAAATATTAACAAGAAGTGAATAATAATAATAATAATAATGAAAAACCATTCCAGTTGCAGTGAATTACAAAACCTATTCTTGTTTGTGTATGATAAATATGATTATATAGCAGACTTTTTATAAATATATAACATTCATTCCTTACAAATTACCATCTTTGTAAATATCTTGACAACTTTTTATAAGACAGATCATTCTTATATTCCAGAGCAAAACTGAGTTTTAGAAATATTGTTCAAACATATAATAAACAATGCAATCTTTAATCAAGTGCAATTGAAAAATCCAACTAACACATGCAGAGACCTATGCTAGCAATAAGTTACAGAAGATATTTTAAATCAATAAACTTGCATTCAGTTTATTGATTTAAAATATCATTTAAGAAAAATGATGATGTCCTTCTAATTCAATCTAGCTAGCTTTTGAAATGAAGATTATTATATCAGAAAAGTATAGGTCATAAAATGATATAAATTCAGAAAAAAATCTGATATTATGATTATTACTTTTTACTTTTTAAAATAAATGCATTCAGAAATTAAATCTGGCATAACTGAATTTGTAAATATAAAAATTTTCATGCTTTAACAATACTGTTAGAATTAAAATGTTTATTAGATGCAAAAAAACAACTTTATTTATAATAGGAATTCTGTGTTTCACATGATAATGAAATACAATTTCCATGCAAGAAAAGAAATATATGAAAGATTAAAATAATAAATGATGCACTTGCCAGAATCTTTCAAATTGGTCCTGGAAAGATTGTGAGAAATTATACAAACTGCTTAAGGATATTAGTAAATGCATTCAAAATACCTTATAGTATCTACCTTCGTTATGTAAAGATGTTAATCGCAAACTTGATTATTCAGCAGTTATCTATTGTACACTTAAAAATATCAATTGGTGAAAGATATCAATTTATTAAATATAAAAAATAAATATAATTTTTATCTTTTAAGAAAATACCAAACAATATATTAAGTTTAAATCTATTAAAATTATGAGTTAAAAATTCAATCTGTTTTATACCAGGTGATCAAACTTGCAAGATATAGAGCAAGGAGTTTGACAAGTCAAATTTGATAATGTCATAAGCCATGATATTTTTTACGAGAAATACTTAACTCTTAAGTATTTATTTTTATTATGGACAACATCTATTTACTATGAATGATATTTAAACTTTAAATAGACAAATAAATAAAAATACTCACCATTATAAGACTGAAATTTCATTATTTTTATAGTTATACTAAAGGGCTTTGCCCCATTTGCTTCACTCACTAGTTCCAAGGGCTTTGTTCACTTGTTCAAAAATTTTGTGAAAATTCATTAATTTCTTATACTGTCATTTCTATTTTTTTCCACCTGGGCATGCTGGCCATAGGCAGCAACCCTCCACTTGCTTTACCTGTTTATTCCCAATATAGACTATTTGTAACAAAACTTTTGTGTTAATTCATTGATTCTGAGTACCATCATTTCTATTTTTATTTTCCTTCTTCACATATACAGAATATTGATAAATGTTTTGCTATACTTTTATCTATATACTAGTAGCCTGGGAAGCCCTCTAGTTGGGTGTTTTAGCATTCCGTGACAGATGACAGATATACAAACAGTAGGATCAATGGCTTATATAAGTAGATAAGAAGCTAGTTGCCAAGCAGAGCAGAGATATCAGTGAATAAATGTGAGAGACCAAATTTTGATTTTTTTTAAGTGAAAAAGTTCAGTACACAAAGCCATGATTTTAATGTCTGAGGGTTTTGAAACAAACCAAGGGTCTCCACAAGCAGTGAGAAAAAAATAATGAGGTAGTGTGTCCATGAGTGCCAGGATTTAGTGGTGGTCTCTAGCTGATACTGGTTTTTTTTTAAAAACTTAGATGATGACAAATCTCTTCAAGAAAATAGTCTCATGTTAAACCCCAGAATATTAACATTAGTTGCAATTGTTGTTAGACTATTCAATAACGTGACAATGGTTCTGACATGGATATTTCTAATTATATGACACTGTAAATAACAACAACACAAAGCCCGAATAGTATATATACTAAATTGCCAAACGATAGCCTAAATATCAGGCTATTATATGTCTACTTAAATGATTAGAATAAAGCAATTTGTCTTAAGAGGTAGGCGTTAGGCGCCATCTCGTAAATAAATTAATAATTAAAATTAAATAAATAAATAATTAAATTAAATTTAGAACCTTCTGGAATTGCTTTATTCTAATCATTTAAGTAGCCATATAATAGCCCGATATTTAGGTGATCGTTTGGCAATTTAGTATATGACACTGACCGATAATTATAAAGTAATTCAAGATAAAAAATTGCTTCTATCTAAATATGACCAAAAAAAAATTTATGATCATTTTCAGCAAATTAAAGATGCAGTTATACAAATAAACATCTATACTGAAATCCAATGCTTTACAATGATACACTAACAACTGCTGTTGTTGGTATATCAAAAGATGCAGTTATTAAGTTTTTAAATGAAAATCAGCAGTAATGTCTACTATTATAGATTGTGTTGTGATTATCTGTTCTACAATTTCGTTAATAGTCAATAGTGTGAGGACAATATTAAACATTTCTAAAGCAATTGCTAAATTTACAGAATAATATATTGCTATCCAACATAAAGAGATATTAAATATTGTGCTTTTTTGGTACAATAATCAGGTTGTTTTCCCTTTATGGCTCTATTTTTTGATAATGTAATACAACAATATTTTCTCACACATGTACAGTGCCTATAATTATGTGTAATCCTAGATAGATATGTGACAAATAAGTGCAGTGTCAGTTGCTATAGTAAATAACACACATTAAAACCATGACGGAAAAATTTGTTAGATTGTTATTATAGGACATTGCAATTAAATAACAACATAAAACAGATTACTGGAACAGTGATAAACATATTCAATTTTTTTTATGTCTTTCATCACAATTCTTAGTAAAACAGATACTAAATTAAACAGTATTTGGAGATTTGTCAAACACAATGAACCTCCATACAATGCAAAGGATATATTCTGCATTATACAAACCACATGTATAACACATGTGGTTCGTATAATATGGTTCATATGGTACTATGGTATATAATGGTTCGTATGAACTGTGAGTATGGCATAATGGTGAAATAGCCATAAAGTTAGAAACATTTTATGAATATTGACCCATATGGTGTGTTATAGGGGTCCACTGTATTGATAACTGTACAATGTTGGTATTCAAACAATATTTTAACTTTGTTGAAATTTCTTTTTATAATAATTAGTTACCAAAATAAAAATTTACAGTATTTGTATTACAAATAAAAATTAAAAAGTTACCTGTCTTTTTGACATATAAAGTTCTCCCCACACTCTACGAGCCGCACCGGCAACTAATTGAGCACCTTCTTGTAATGAGGTTTGTGGTGACTGGATTTGGAATTCTGGTTCTTTTGATGAATAAGAACTGACACTTACATGCCATGTTGTCCTTCTATTAAGATCTCTATTATAAAATATTTAATTATAATTTATTACAATAAATGTCAATTAACTTATATTTTCTATATATGAATTCAATAAAAAAAATTACAATAAACATTATTAACAATTGCACAGTAATTGCATTGTGGAAAGTGCCATGTTATGCAAATCCTTGCTATACAAAACAAAGGACTAGTGCAAAACATAGAGTTAAATTCCAAAAGTTGACAAAAGTATTGAGTTGGCCAATAAGTTTGTGTGATTTTTACTGATAGGTAGAGTTAGATGCTCTGAAAAGCAATTATTATTAATAGTTTAACCTTGAAACACATGTTTGTTTGAAAAGTGACATTTCACTAACACTTGTGAAAAATAAAGCTTGATGGTTAGTTTCGTTTTGTGTGTTTGTCAGTATTACAAAGATGAGTGAACAAAATGTGCATTATCGACACATTATGTTTTTTTTTTATTTTAAAAAAGTAAAAATATGGTGCAAACCTGCAAAAAAAGTATGTGAGGTGTACAGTAAGAATGCTATGAAAGAACATGTGCGCCAGAAGATGTTTATAAGATTTCATTCCGAAGATTTTTCCATTCAACATGCACCACAATCAGGTCAACCAGTTGAGATCAATAGCAATCAAATAAAAGAATTAGTCAACAGTAATCCATACTATATGATGTGGGAGATTGCAGATATTCTTCAAATACTGAAATCAATTGTGAAAAATCATCTGCGTCAAGTTGGATACATCAGCAAGCTGGATGTTTGGATTCCACACAAACTTAGTAAAGCCAATCACACACTCACATTTCCATCTGTAATTCTCTCAAAAAATGTGAGGAAAGTGACACATTTCAGAAGCAAATGGAGCCAGGATGAAAAGTGGATTGTTTACATCAATATCAATCGCAAAAGATCATGGGAAAAGTGTGGAAAACTGCTGCAATAAGCTGGACTTCATCCAAGCAAAGTCATGCTCTTGATTTAGTGGGATTGGAAGAGTATCTTGTTTTACAAACTGCTTCTGAAAAACAAAATGATCAATTTTAACATATACTGTGACCAGCTGGACAAATTAAACAAAGCTCTTCAGGAGAAACATTCAGAATTGGTAAATTGCAATGGCATTGTCTTCTACCATGATAATGCCCAGCCACATGCATCATTGCAAACCCGGCAAAAATTGTTGGAGCTTGGCTGGGATGTCTATCTCATTCTTCATATTCACCCAACCTTGCCCCTTCAAATTACCACTTGTTTTGTCCTCTTCAAAATTCTTTAAACAAACAGTGCTTCATTTCCGACAATGACATAAAATGGCACTTGGAACAGTTGTTCACCAAGTAAGACTGGAAGTTTTTTAAACGAGGCATTATGAAGCTCCCCAAAAAATGACAAAAGGTACTTGATAAAAATGGTGAGTATATTATTATTGAATAAAATTTTTATTTTCTAAAAATAAAAAAAAAAGCCTTTCATTTACATCTAAAAAACTGCACAAATTTATTGGCCAACCCAATATACTATTCTTTTTCATTACTAAGAGAAGTATGATTATTAAAGCAATCAATAATTCATTTCCAATCAGTAATTAACCAACAATCACAATTAAAAGTACTGTATTATGCATTAATATTAATTTTAGTGAATGAAGATGTTTTCTATTTACAAAGTATCATTATCTTCTGAGTTTTTTTGTTGATCTTAATCAGAAATATTAGAAACATCTTTATTTTTTTAATCATAAAAATTTTTTTTATAGATGACAAAATAAAAATATGTTATTAATCGAAAGCAGGTTGCATTTGTTCAGTCTAGTACCAAGCAAAATTTTGTTTTTGGTGAATACCAAATTGTTCAAGTTGTGACGAGTTCAAGTACCAAGATACTGTTGTATTTTGTTTGTCATCTTAATGATTGACGACTTACCTACAGCTTCAAAAAGTTTAATAGCATTTACCTAAAAATGTTTAAATAAATTTTACTAAATACAAAGATTATCTATAAAAACAAAATGCACAACAGTCTTAAAGAGTAAAGTCTAAAAGCAATAATGACACCCAGTTGATAAGAAAACTAGGACAAGGAAAAAAATTGCACTATCAGTTCTCATTAAAGTAAACCCAATGAAAGGCACAAAACAAATTGAAAATTTCAATATTCTAAAATCTGTGGACAAATTTGAGACAACATGCATGGTTACTTAAATAAAAAAAATATCAAATGACAGACTTTGCACTTAAAAATTGAGAAATTTTGTACAGAGGATTTCCCAAATTCTTGAACTGTATTAGAGCAAAACTGTGTTGTAGAAATGCCATGTTGTTATAGGAATACCTGTATTTTTATAAATAAAATATTGAATATTTCTAGAAATAAAATTATTTTAATATAAAAAATAAATCTAATTTGATTTTACTATAACAGAATCATTTCTAACAGATAATGATAATTAAGTGAATAAAGAAAAATAATGTTGTTTGGGGCAATTTCTAGTCACTCTGGTGGGATATACAAATTATACATCAAAATAAAGCTTATGGCAAAAAGAATACAATGATAGCAGTTTCAAGTAAGGAAACTGAAGAGTAGAGGTCAAAAAAAAAAAAAAAAAAAACACTTTTTCACCCCTTCATGAATCATTTGATTTTTGCACATCCAAACATATAATAAATGGATAGTAGAAGACACCAGAAGTGGCAAGCATCACTTTTTACATGGGTTTTACTTTAACTTTTTGAATACAAACATCAATGCTACCTTAGAATGGCAGTATAAACACTTCAATTACATATAAGAAGTTTTAGAATTTCAAAAGGGCAAGAGGACCAACTACTGGTACAAAAAGTTTTTGAAAGCATCTTCATCTTTATTGTCACTCCATTCACACAGAACATTAAGCAGTGATTTAGTGATAAAAAATTGTAATTTTCAACCTGTTCCTCTAGTTCTCTGACTTGAAATTGGTCTGACTCCACTATTGTGTTCCTCTCGACAAGTTTTAATATAATACAGTTTGGGCATTCCTCCCAGTATGACTAGAAATTGCTCCAAACTTAACATTGTCCTTTTGTTACACATAAATTTAACAAGATTTTCATATTTAACATCTCAAAATAATTCTATTATTATTTTATTTTGTCTTTGATAAACATAAATATCTAAACTAAAGCAGGATTTAAATCACACATTTCCTCCAATTTTTTCAGCATTATAGGACAACCATTGCTCTAACCAAGAAAATTTCACGGGCATGAAACTGTATGGTACTTTAATTTTTTCATCATTAACTTCATCAGTTGCTTTACATACAATTCATATATAAGTCTGAAAAAGAAATTATTTAGAAAAAGTAACATTATAATTCTTGTTACAAATAGATTTCTTTATGCATGAACTAAATTGCATCAGTTTAATCACTCAAAACACCCATGTAAGTTTGTATGAGTGTTTTGAGTGAAGTTTTCATTGGTAATCATAACAAAAGTGACAAGCAAATATTTTTTGTGACATTGTCATAAAGCCAGGTTGCAATTTTTAATCATATTTTTAATAATTTTTATAATTTATTTTTAAAATATAAGCTCTCTATCTCAAATTAGTGATGTTTGCTCCTGTACATCATACTTTTCCTGTTACCAATAGAGTCATGCCAGTCATCTATCTAACTCCTTTCAGGGGCAAATTTTTGAATTGAAATAACATGACTTACAGTTTGCATCAGAAATTCGTATATAGTTAATTCGGGCCCATGCCCTTAAGATTTCCTTATCTGGTCTTGGATTTCATCTATCAAACTTTGTTCTCAAGTTTAAGAAAGAACAGACAGCCAGATGGACAACAGTGAAATTTATAGGTCTACAATTTTTTCAAATTGTAGCCCAATGACAGTTACAGACAATGCTACCATAAATACAGGAATTTAAATTAGAATCCAGTACAAAGAAAAAAACCAATGTTTCAATAAATTCCTTTCATAAATCATTTATAACTGGAGTTATAAATTGGTAAATTTTTAAATATATTGATTACTAAATAAATTTAACATTTAATTCAAAATTGTTTTTCTTTGAATATTTGTTTTCATAATTTATGCATTAGTGAAATTCTGTGAGAATATACCATATATCAGTGTTTCTCAACTGCTGGTCCGTGAATTGGTGCAGATCCAAAAAAATATTTGACCATACTGATGCTGGTGTAGTTGATTATGGGTGGTATTTAAATAGTAATCTAGAGTTACTGTACATACTTTGTTATGTACAGTAATTCTGGATAAACACATATAACCATAATTCATAGTTCTATATAATTATTGGTCTGCAATGAGAAAAAGATTGAGAAACACTACTGTATATGAATGAATATTACTGAAGAAGAAATGTAATCTGTGACTATTCAAAAATACAGTAGGGTGTCTATTATCAAAAATAATTGCGCAGGACACCTTTGGATACTTTTTTGCTAACACCTAGATATAATACTTTTTTCTTATATAATACTTGTTAAACCTCAAAATGAAAAAATAAAATATAAATTTCATTAGATAACTTACCTAATTTGTAAATCTTCTGTCAATTGTAAAAGACAATAACAGAGGCACCCAAAAAATTCTACTTCAGTATTATTTGCAGCTAAGATGATATTTCGATGTGAAATTATTTTCTGTAGACTCTCTAATATAGCCATCTGTTCTGTAAATTAAATTCAAAAACAAAAGTGAATATTTATAATGTAATTCTACTATGATTAAAATTGGCTGACAGTATTTACATATTGAAAATATATAGTGAAAAGAGAATTGCTGAGGTAGATAACCTATGCAAATAGGTTTTTTCCAGGGCTGTGGAGTCGGAGTCGTCGAGTTTTGGTGTTTTAGCCGGAGTCGGAGTCGTCAAAAAATCCGACTCCTTTTTACTTACAAACTTGTTATGTATATAAAACAAAAAAGTATTGGAATCGTGTCAAAAAGTCAATATAGGGAAAAAATTTGTGTGCGCGTGTTGGCGTCTAATTTGTTTAATTTCTTTATTTTCTGTTCTGAGATATTAAACCCTATCTCAGAATGGGTAAAGTTTAAGAAATGAAATGTAGCGCTGTAGCTTGAGTATAAAGGAGCATTAATACTATTAAATTTTGGTTCTTAATTAAAGGTCGATAGAGTGAAGACATAAAAGTGGTCATCTGTCATATCTCTTAATAAATATTTTACTTGTTATTAGCGTTCGAAATTAAAAAAAAATAAAATAAAACTCATCTCTACCCTCAAAGTAAGCTTTTTTTGCCATTTTATAATACAGTAGTACAGTAAAACCCATTAAGACGTTCTCGCCTAAGATGTTAGAATCTGTATGGAGATGATTTAGTTCAACCACTTTGACGCTTAATAACTAACTCCTGTGTTAAACCATTTGACTCCGATTCTGACTACTCTGACCACAGAAATTATTAGGCTTCAAACAGGGTGAACAAAATCATGCCCCCCCACACAGTCTAACATCCACACATATAGAAAAAAACCTCAAATCTTTTGCATATCTCAAAATTTCAAGGTGTCCTGAGTCCAAAAATGTAAAAATTTGGAAGGGGTAATTTTTTGAGCGAGCGCTACACTTTTCCTCTGTTATATATAACAGCCGGAAAAGTAAAAATTATCGAATACATATTTATATATTACTTAGAGAAGTCTTTTAGCTTTGGAATAAAAAGTTTCTATGCTCTATCTTTATTAGAACTCTATTGAATCTTTTATTCTGAGATCAACATGATGACATCAGAATTTCCGGGTCTTTTTCAGTAACAAGTCCGCCCCTGGTCAGAGTCGGATGGTAAGGAAAACTCGGAGTTGGAGTTGGTAGATTTTTACGCGACTCCACAGCCCTGGTTTTTTTGATTACTATACATTACTATAAATATTGTACATATGTTCACTCTTTCTTAATTTTATTTCTTTGTTATTTCCTACAACATTGTTTGTACCTGATTTACTAGGTTAATTTTTTATTATCAGCTTGGTTATGCATGGTGAAGCCAAGCATGTATGCTGCACTCAGCCTTTCAGTTGCTTTTCAACAAGAGATGAAGATATAGAAGAAAATGTTATTTTCATTTTATACTAGTGACAAATAAAAATAAAATAAAATCTTGAAACCTATCTCTCCAGTTTCTATATAAATATTAGTCTCAGTTTACTTGATTTTCTTCTTAGATGGAACTAATCTAGTTGGATTTTAGATGGAATGTGTAAATTAAAGATTAGATGTACTAAAAATCATTTTATAATTCTCTATATTTTCTAATATACCATTGTTAAGTAATGTATTCACCCATTACTGAATTCTATACATTACATTCCATAAAATCAACTGACAATATATTGTATATTTATTTTAGAGTTTTATCCAAGAATTCTTTATGCAGACTTGCAAGTATCAACATGAAAAGCCTTTGCACGATTTATTAAATGAGAAGCTGCAACAAAAAAAATTTATAGATGAAATAAACAAGCTTAGTAGCAAAATGAAATTTAGTATAATAAATAATGCAACACTAAATACTTTCACTACATCTTACAAATAACAACCAATTTTGAATTTAAAAAAATTTGTATCAAGTTAATTGACAAAAGAACAAAAAAATAGTTTTATAAACTAATTCATGATAATGATTTAATGAATTATGCCTTTTAACTATTGAGATGATAGCAAAAATTTTATTACAAAACAAATGTAGCCTAAACTTGCAGAAAAAAATTAGGATATTTAAGAAATAGCAATAACAAAAGTGCCATTTTATATTGTCATCATAATTATATCCTTACCATAATGTTCTACATACTGTATAACTTGCTGGTTATCTGTTTTAAAGTCAATTTAAAAGTAAGTGCAGACTATGAATGCTAACAATTTTTGTGGATTATATGCTGAAAATTAAGGTCTTTACTTTCAAATTTTTTATTGTAATAATATGTTTTAATGTCTTCACCCTTTAATTCTCTTAAAAATACCATATTTATGTGTATATAGGCCACATGCATGTAGAAGCTGCATCCCATTTCTGAAACGATATACAGTGAAAACTGCTTAGGCGACCACCTGCATTCGACGGGCACCTGTCAAAACGGGCAAAAATTTCTGGCACGGAATAGTTTATTCATAGAGTCTTCGTATAAGTTACCTGTATTAAACGACCACCTGTGTAACGCGACCGCGGGCATCGATTTTTGGTCTGAAACAACATACAACACCTGTAATAAGCGACCACTTTCGCGAATGTATCTGGTCTAAACTATTGTAAGAACCCATCCCAACAACGTTTCTGCCTCCTAATATAATGAATTAGTCTAAACTCTCGTTCGAACCCATCCNAAGGAATTTAATTCAATATATTTTATTTTTCATAGATAAAATTAATCTGTATATTCGATAGTTGAATCAATAGTTCCGTAAATGTATAATAATTTAACCGGTTTCTATGTCTGTCCGTAAAGACACAGTGGTGTCAGTCCTGACAAACCTTGTCATTGCGATCTTCGCCGACGCGATATCGACCCTTCGGTCTTGTGGTGCCGAAGTATAGGGGACCCTTCGGCATTGTCACAGTTTTGATTTCTTAAATAATGTTTTTCAGTTTCTATATTAAAAATTCTCATTAAAATGAACAAGTTTACAACATTAAACAGATTGATGCTTGCCTGTAAAAGGCTAAAAATGTTCTATTTTGTATTTAATTCAAATACTTATTATTTGCTGGAAGATTGTATGTAGTGTTTAATTTATCTACATTCCAGCTGGTACAGACTTTTATGTTACTTAAATTTCTGTATTATCAAAATTGTTTTTAAATCAACTGTAATTTATTTTACATTTTAAACATTTTTATTTTAAAAATTATGGTGTGTTGCAGGAATCTTATTAATTCAAAGTGTGTCACTAATCCAAAAAGGTTGAGAAACATTGACCTATAGGGTTACTTTAATTTGAATCACCCTGCATTTATATTTCATTTTTGTAGGTTCAAATTCCTCTAGTTAAAGGAATTTATTATAAATTTAAAGGATTAACTTCTTTTATGAAATTATATGAACTTCGAATTTCACAAAGATGTATAGTAAACTTCAGATAAGCAATAGGATTAATAAAACTATATTCTATATTTTGACCTAATGGTTTTGTGAGGATCCGAATCCAGACTTTCCTTATGTTTACATCATTATCTCATAATGTCACATCGTCACTATAAACTTGATACATAACTGTCAACTTCTGCACCTGAGAGCAAAACATCTGTTAAGTTCTCAGGCCTGACAATGATGCTTTCTCATCTCCTCTCGACCTAATATCTCGATTTCATCTGTTCAACAACAAAAAAATCAAGAAAATAAGGCAGTTGTCGCCCATCCTTCAAAAGAGTCAGTTGTCACTCATACCTTGTCCTAAGTGCCTCAATATTTGGATACCTGTGAATATATCATTTTATTTTACGTTCTTATATCCTACTAAAATATCATTGGAAACCATCGTCTAACACCTTTGCGGATACTGTACGTTCCATCAGGCTTATGGATATTTCATCTACAGGATACCCGAACTGACATCCTGAACTTCCTCTCTTTCACAAAAAAAACGTTCAAGATCAAGACCAGATCCTCAATAAGGTATTTATCGTCAAGCGCTTTTGCTGTAAACTCTCTCTCTCTCGGAAAACATGGGTCTTGAGTTATTTCAGTCTAATATCTACATAATAGCTAGCATTTCTCATATGCCTAAATCTATCATATTCCACTTGGTCTATGATATGTCCTGTATTATCTATTGTTACCAATTAAACAATTGTTACATTAACTCGTCTCTACGTAAGTCACTTCTGGTGCGTTGTCTCTCCCTCCATCCCGAATCCATTCGCTCACATACACGAGAACTTAATGGTTTCTGTGTCTGTCCATAAAGACACAGTGGTGTCAGTCCTGACAAACCTTGTCATTGCGATCTTCGCCGACGCGATATCGACCCTTCGGTCTTGTGGTGCCGAAGTATAGGGGACCCTTCGGCATTGTCACAGTTTTGATTTCTTAAATAATGTTTTTCAGTTTCTATATTAAAAATTCTCATTAAAATGAACAAGTTTACAACATTAAACAGATTGATGCTTGCCTGTAAAAGGCTAAAAATGTTCTATTTTGTATTTAATTCAAATACTTATTATTTGCTGGAAGATTGTATGTAGTGTTTAATTTATCTACATTCCAGCTGGTACAGACTTTTATGTTACTTAAATTTCTGTATTATCAAAATTGTTTTTAAATCAACTGTAATTTATTTTACATTTTAAACATTTTTATTTTAAAAATTATGGTGTGTTGCAGGAATCTTATTAATTCAAAGTGTGTCACTAATCCAAAAAGGTTGAGAAACATTGACCTATAGGGTTACTTTAATTTGAATCACCCTGCATTTATATTTCATTTTTCATATACTTAACATAATTATTTAGTATTTGAAACATGAATTAGTATTTCAAATACTCTAGAATACTCAAAATATTTACATTCTTTTAAATGTAATGTTTCCAAAATAGTGGTATTAATGTGCATATTAATATTTATATTATATTCTTTCTCATTTTTTTATTTTGTTCTTGATTACATAAGTGAAATCATAATTAAAGTATGTAGTTAGGAACAGTTGGAATGGTTCCTCACTATTTGCTTTAATTATAATTTTAAATATATTTCTTATCTTTTGGTTTTTGTTTCATTAATTTTAATAATGTTATTTTTTGAAGTTTTGGATAGCAATTATATATTTAATAATCCAGAATGTACACCAAAGTTTAATTTTAACAATTGTAAAACAACTGATATCAGTCTGAAATGCATTTTGTTAAAGGTATTTAGAAAGAATAAAAGAAGTGTGCTATAATATACCAAAGTCATTGTGATAAGTTTGACAAAACAGCACTAACAGGTTGCTGAAGGTTGGGTGGTGTGTATGACCTCAAGCAAAGGTCATACACACCACCCATTGCACGAACTATCTCAGATGGCTGGAGGCTATATACATATGCTTAAACACTATTAAAGAGAGTAATTGCATTAACTACAAGGAATAAGTTGCTCTAGCGATGGCCTGGCAGGCCCTACTAGATGAATCTCTGAGATAGAATACAGCTTGCATAGCGCGTAAGTCCGTAGTGACGTCATCGGGTCAGGATAATGTTCTGAATCGTATTTCATAGCGACTTTGAATCAAAGAGCATTCCGTTAGGGAGGTCATTATCGAAGAAGAACTGTGACGGTTTGAAAAGGTTTGTAAGTTTATTGTATAGTGTGATGAGACACACTGGTAAAAGACTTATAGATACATGCATTTTTTATTTTTTGTTCTTCCATTTTAGTTACATTAGTTAAACCTGATGATGTCTGTTAGAAATGGAAGAAAACATTAGTTACAGTAAGAGTTTTCATTTTTGCAGGTTATTAGTGTTGATGGTATAATTTATTTATGTATTAAGCCAGTATTTTGATGATTGGTATTAGTAACCATAAATTTCTTATTGTCAAGCCATTTTTCAAGCATCTATTCACAGAATGAATACAAAATTATATACAGTTTATAATGCTTTTGAATGTATTTATTAAGCACTCCTTATGTTATAATCAGAATGCCAATAACATACTGTATCAATAAAAGGACGTTAATTCAAGGTTCTAATGGCATGATGTTGTGTTTGGCATGGAACTGTAGTGTTTGTTTACATTAATTGTCTGTATTCACACAGAATATAAGAGAAAAAAAGATCACAGATCTACCAAAATGTGGAGGGTACATGGTAAAATAGATAACTAAAAATAGCAACAATTTTGACTTAATAAGACCATATTGTATGGAAAACCCAATATACAGTGGATGATCGGTTAACGAACATAATCCGTTTCAAGACTTTGTTTGCTATCCGAATTGTTTGTTAACTGATTATCAATTTACCATAGATTTGTATGGGAATTTGATTAATTNCGCGCTTGTATATCGATGACGTAATACACGTAACTGAGGAGCGAACGAAAAGAACCGAGTCGAATTAATTAAGTCGGAAAAAAGAAAGTATGCATTATAATCGAGAAAATGCGAGTATTGTATTAATCTTTAAAATATTGGTGTTAAATCTGTCTTATAATAGCATGATGACTCCTGTAAATCGGGCTATCCGATAAGAATAAAATACAATACCAATATAGCCCTATCGTTGAAAAAATTCGCTTATTTTTGCTCGCCTCAAGTTTTGCTTAGTAGAAATGGCTAAAAAGTGCACAAAATACATACGGAAATACGGTATTACATCACCATCTGTATTGGACGACCACCTGTCTAAAAGACCACTTTTTGAAGGAACCGTGGGTGGTTGCCATAAACAGGTTTTACTGTACTTGGAAAAAAATAAAAATCTCAAAATTTCACCAAAGAATGAAAGTAGAGATGCAAGTGTACAGAAATATGGCAACACTGTAAATTCCAAACAAAGGGATAAATTGATGGTTAATGCTTATTGTTGAGTGCCTGCACAGTGAGTTAGATAGCAAAGTTTAAATTGCACCTGGTACATTATGCACAAGAAAATGGAAATTGAGAAGCAGAAAGAAAGTTTGATGTAAATGAATGCATGATAATAGATTCAAACAAAAGACACTCTTGAGAAAACATCACAAAACTGGCGAATGTTTTGCAGAAATATAGCAAAATATCCCAACCTGGAAGCTAATCTGTTGAGGTATATCTGTGAAATTCAAGCAAATGAATTTTCTATGTTGAAGTGATTCAATGCTCCCAAAGGATTGCCCAAAATATGAAAATTCCTGAAAGTGAATTTAAGGGAAGTTATGGTTATGACTAGGAGAGATGGTTTCATGGCATGGCATGACATAAGCTCATGATTTGGTGTCAAATTTCAAATTGTAAATATGGTATATATATTATACTATATTACACATATAAAATAAAACAAAATCAAAATGTCATGCACAAGACTGAAGAATATGAAAAATATTTGGCACCATTCATCAATAAAAGTGATTAGTGAACGGATTATAAGTGGAAACTAAAACTAAATCAAGTACTAAAATATAAAATAAATTACTTACCAACAACAGAATCAGCTGGCCGAGATAACTGATACAAAATAGTTCTATTTAAACTATGATAAATACTATCTAATGATACACTGAGCCCTAAAAATATAAAAAAATTAGTTAATTAATTAAAGCAACAATAAATTACATTTATATTTTCAAAAAATACAATTATTTTCAATTCATTCATTCAATTTTGTAAATATTTATTATAAATATACAGTAAACATCCACATAACATGGTGATACATTCTGTTTTATATGAATTTACATTGTACAGTGGCATTATATATGGATTAAGTACTTATTTAAAAAAATATAAAATGTATCTTTAAAATTATAACAGTAGAAAATCATTTTTTTTTCATTTTAAAATAAAACAATAACAAAAATTAAATACATTTCTTCATCTTAATATTTTTTTTCATATTTAATGATTGTTGGAGCTATCCAAAATCAAGTTTCAGTGACACTGTCTTTCAAATATTAGTGATGTCAATTCATCATTTAAAGACACTTTGGTTTCATTGCTATAATTTTTGTTATTTAAAAATGTATTCATTTGTGTTGTTAGACAGTTTTGTTGTTACTTCCCAACTCTTAGATTTATAATATGGAGTAAACACTCATGCAATTTTCTCTTAAATTAAACAGAATGGTTTGTGAAAGGTTCATTATTCATAAAATGTGTTTCTAGAACTGGATTTACAAATATGGTATTAATAATAATATCATTAGCAATGATATATCACAAATGCAATTCACAAAAGTTGTCATAGACTACTGTGCTAATAATAACAAAGTAACTAATGTCTTGTACTGAGAGTGTGGGAATTTTTTCATCACTTCTATGATTTACACCAAATGAGAAATTAGATATTCATTCTTTGTGATTTTAGAACTTGTTGAGTGATCATAATCATGGAAAAACAAAGGTGTTACAAAATATTAAAATTAAGAAATTTTATTTCTTCTTTTAAAATCAATTCATAATATTTAATCTTTGTTAATTAGTGTAGATATCCAACTAACATCAACACTAGTGAACATCTGGCATCATAAGTAGCTTGTATGTTTGATGTATTCATCATAAGTAGTCTAGGCTTTTCTATTCCTATGTGAGTGCAGTCAATCACACCAATTGAAGTTGGAAAGTAATTTTTATTTTGCTGTAGATGTTTTGCTTCTATGACAGAATGATTTATTGTAGGAAATTTTATCCAATGATCAGCCTGAGCTATATTTTTTCTCCACAACACTGCTCACAGTTCATGACATTTGTTGACTCTCTACACCAAGTTCTCCTATACCTTTTTTGGAATCAGGCCAGTTAAATATCCTTAAACATATTTTCATTTTTTGTGGAAAAGTTAGCACACCACCATGTGATCCAGTCATTCCTCCTAAAAAATTATGTGCCAACCAATCAACACTTCCTTCTTCAAACTTAAATAATGCCTTGAAATCAGTGACTTGTGGAAAGGAACAAAGTTTATAATATTTAATCTTTCTTACATTAACTACTTCAGCCATGGTTAAACATTAACAGAAAATAAACCTAGATAAAAGCAACAACAAACCATACATCAGTCTACAGACTTATTTTGCATGGTGTGAGCATAGACATTCAACTTCTTGCATCTTTGTTAACGTATTTCATTAATACCTTCTCAGGTAATTTTATTTTGTGTTTATTGTTTTATACATACATACCTACATATAATATATTACACAATTTTATCTTAAATGTCTGATGCTCATACCATCCAAGACTATACTCTGTACTTTTCAAATTTCTTCTTGTTCTATTGTCTAATTTGATACATTTTTGATAATCCCTTATTTTTCCACAACATTATTCATAGCACCTTATTACTTTCCATCATGTCCTCAACAAAAAAAATCTTAAAATTTTCATCCAGAATGCTAGGTCCATTAAAAATAAATGCCTTTTCCTTGTCTCGATTTTAAATAATTTTTATGATTTGTTTATATTAACAGAAAGTTGGCTTACCCCAAACTCTGATGATGTCTTGAATTTTATTAATACATTTGGTTAATCACATATTGCATTATCTCGTAATATCCAATCCGGTGGTGGGATCCTTTTGATTTTCCCCTTTGCTCAGAATTGTTGAAGTTTTTGAATATCTCAATTCCATCCTTGCTGTCAAGCTTTCTGCCTCTAATCTCATAATTGTTTTGATCTAGGCCCCATAATAGGAGAGATTCCATTTTTAAAATATTACATAGATACCTTTTTTCCCTTATCAATTCCTAAAATCTAAAGATTATCTTATGCAGTGATTTTAATATGTCTAACATCTTCCTGGAACTCTAGTGGCCAATACTATTCCTCCGTTGACCTGACTGAACAATTTCTTATTAATGATATTTATTTTTTTTTTTCATTTTAAACAAGAAATCCTTTTCCCATCTCATCTTAATAACTTTCTAGACTTTGCTTTCACCTATAATTATGCCATGTCTACCAGTCATATTCATGGTTTTAACTCTGATCACAGTGCCATATGTTTAGATGTCCTTTTAAACACAAATAAACATCAATCTGCAAGGCACATTAATATTCCCAATTGGGCCTCATTCAATGGAGCAGAAGCCTCAAAAATCCTCTGCTCAATTGACTGGACCTTCCTTGACTCTCCTATTTCCCCTCAAAAACTAACTGATAAAATTTATAATATATTTTCAGCCACAATTAATAAGTTTTTACAGTTCCATAAAATAAACTCCTCCACTCATAGATGGGTTCCTTTACACCTAAAGAAACTATCCAATACTATCAGAAAATGTTATGGAAACTCATGTGATCTTTACATATATAGAATACTATAACAATGCTATTATCAGGAACACTGTATTGCTTTCCAAGAATTTTTCAACAAGATTGTATCTAACTATGCCACAGACCCCCATACGTTTTGGCATTTAATTCCTAAATTTTCAAAAAAAAAGAAAAAAAAATTACCATCAAACAAAAATCCATTCCTGATGATAAAATTTATGATATTTTTAATAATATCAAATCTAGATACTTTCGTCTCCTACTTGAAGCTAACTTTCATTTGCTATCAAAAAATCAATATCCATAAAACTGTTATTATGTGCTTTTCCCTAATTTGCAATCCATACCATCCTTCAATTTATATCGCCTCCACTAAAATAAATTATGTTCAGTCTCATTGCAACCTTGGTATATTTTACAAAAAATTAATCTTTCACAATCATATTTCTTACATTATTAAATCACTTGCTGTTAGATGTGGCTTCATTTGGTGTTTCTGTAAAAATATTTCTTCAAAATCTGTGTTCTTCAAAAAAAAAAACTATTTTCTTTACAAATTTTCAATCAATTGTCGACTACTGCTTACCTGTGTGGGCAATGACTGCTCCATATTTGTTTCATAAAGTACAATCCAAATTAGATAAAGTTTATTTTCTGATATATAAATTTTGTAATCTACCTTATACCAATAAACATAATGTTGCAAGAGTTTGCCTTGGTCTTCCTAATCTTACGGATTGTTTGAAATACTTTGATCGCTTTTTATATTTTAAATATTTTAATAGTCAAATCCCAAACTACTGGTTAGGTCTCTGCATTTCAACCATAAGAACCCACAATACATCATGCTTCTTCATCTCATTCTTTCGCCTCTCTCTCTCTCACAAAGATCTTTTTTCTACCACATAGCCTCTCATATACATCCTGTGGAAATGTATCTATATCATAATTTTAACTTTTTTAAAAATATGTGTAAATTCATTCTGTATAATAGATAATGTAATTGTTATTTTTTTCTATGCTTATAATTTTTATTATGTCTTTTATACTTTGTTAATATTTTATTGGGGTATTTTTTTTGTTTTCTTTTAATCTCTTGTATCAGGGTGGTGGAATCCAATTGTCTCCGATGTTTCCAAATGTAGATAAATAAATAAATACTTCTTGCAGTTGAGTCTATGAGCCACATGAATAAAAACAAAAGAAAAACCTGATACATATGAGCATGAAGCAAATGCTTTGAATGAAGATTTTGCTTTAGTAATAACTATTCCTTATAAATAAAAGTAAGAATTTTCTTCAAATTATAAGTGCATTCTTCAAAATGCATGCATCTAGTCAGACAGAGACTCAACTGAATGATGTTAATCTTTAAAAATGCTCACATAAAAAGAACACTATTATCTGATTTTTAAATTAAAAAAGCCAATTTTATCTTTAGTTTATTTATATTTGTGGAGAAATGATATGATAAAAATGATATGATGAAATGATAAAAAATATCAAATGCAATATTATGTAAAACAATTAATGACATTTTATAAACTATTATTATTAAAATATTATATTTAATATAACAATACATTAAGTTATACTTTACCTCTTCTCCTGACTTGTGTGATTAGTTTGATTATGAAATCTAGCACCTCATGAGAATCTCTAGTGAAGAGTCCTGAAAGATTTTTGATTTATTGTTATAGAACTTCAATATAGTTAACATAAATAATTTGAATTGTAAAAAATTATATTGACTTTCAACTAATTTAACTAAAATTAAAAGATCTTTATCATCATATGTTTCTTAAGCTAAACAACTAACTGCTAGATTTTTCTAACATATATTCAGGAAATACAGAAATCAATGATTATATGCCAATATAATAAGCAAATTACTTATGTATTAATAACTTTAATAATTAAACAGATAATTTACAAAAAATTATTATATTAATTTATTAAATATAAAATTAATTATTAAATTCACTAAAAGATTATTTTATATTAATGGAAATGTTAGTGAAATATTGTTTTTTATTGGAACATATGATAATAACAGATACAAATGTATATGACAGTTCATTTTAAAAGAATTAGAAAATTTCAATTGTTTAGTCATTTAGCTGCATAATTTCTTTCTGAAAATTCCAGCTTAATTTCCATAGAAACAAATGTTGGCTTTCTTTTCTAACCTATATTTTAATTAATTAATTTTAATATTAATTAAATGTCATAACTATAATAACAATTAACTTCACTAAAGAGAATACTGAGCAAGAGATCACAAGGAATTTAATGGACACACACTGTACAATACAGTGGATTATTTATTATGTTGCAATAAACATTTTAGTATAAGAAATAATTCACGATATCATAGCAGAATGATCTGTCTATAACCTTTATATGGAATGTTACATTTAACTAAGAGTTTTTAGACCGAAAAGTGTAAAACATTAGTTAAGCAAGATCAGTTAAGAGAGTTTCTATTGTATTTAAAATAAAAATACACAAATCCTTTACGTAATTTTGAATATAAAAATATTGAATACACATTAGTTTGTTCAATGTAATAAATAAAAACATTTTGTTTTCTGTAGAATTGTGAGGTCAGCCGATTAGGGGTGAGGTGTTCGACAGCCGAGCGGTTCTTTCTGTCGTGTGGGCGNCGAATTTAACTAAGTATATAGTCTAACTAAAGGGCTTAACTGCCTATCTTTAGACAAATTATATAGATAAATTAATATCCCATATGCAGTCCAATAAAACCTATAATTAGATATTTAGCTTATTTATTATTAACTCTTCCCTGGGGATATGAAGCGGGTCTTCTTATCAAACCATTACGGTTTGGCAGGTTTGCAGTGGGGTAGCTGGGTGGTGATGATGGAGCCACAGAGGTGTTGGGCTCCAGAAAATTCCTGGGGGTTTTTGACCATTCAGATTCATTTCCAGATTTCTCGGAGCAGTGGGCTGACACTTTAACTGCTTTACCATCTGACTTTTGGCTTAATTATGTTTTATAAATAGTTTGAAGTTTCAGTTCAGGATTAATTAATAAGTGAAAAGATAATATTTCTAGCATTGTAAAACAGGAATTTTTGTAAATTTTAATGTTTAATAGGGAAGCGAATCATACGATTAAAAGTCAAAATGTTTATAAAGTACTCCACATGAATAGAGAGAATTTTTATAAAATTATAAGATAATTTTTTCCCATTTATTTTGTGTAAAATGAAGAGAATTAGCATAATTAATTTGAAATCTAATGAAGAAAAATCTTTACAATCTTCATAATAATTTTTAATTGGTTAGAAATTGAATATCTTTTATGCCAGAAGAAATGCTAAACTTTCAATGATTTAAATTTAAAAAATTAAAGGTAATATCTTGAATCGAAAATTTTGTTTAATTTTTTTAGTGTGAAAAATTGCGTAGAAAGCGATCTGCTTTCATGGGCGCTTTTCGAATTGCTCACGGCGGCTCTATTGACGATGTAGACAATCGCATTTTACAAGCAAAGTAAGTACTATTACCATACCAATTACATACTATATATATTAGTATAATAATTATAAATTTTTGAAATATAACCACTAATTATTTAGAACAAATTTAGTTTAGAATTTTAACATATCAGAATTATAGGGAATAATTAAATTGGTTACCAAAAGGTATTTATTTTGAATTGTCTGTGAAACTCAAATATTTTAATTGACAGACAAATATTTTCAGCGTACTCTATAGGCCAAAATTAGGTCTACTCACTAAACTAATAAAAATTTCTGACATTCTAATTTAGAATGTCAGTGTTTTATGATGCTTTTACAAATTTAAAATATAAAATGTCATGGCATTATGTATTTATATATAAACAAAATTTGATAGTTTTATAAAAATTAAAAATTATATAAAAACATTGCATTAATTTTCTATAAGAGTCTATAATATAATGCCATTGTGCTTAATCCATCTGTTGGTTATCGTAACAAGACTGCCAAGCCGCAGACAACAATTCTCTGTCTTTGTAATTGATTCAGCGTCTTCCTTTTTGCTTTGTATATTTCTAGTATTTTCATTACTCTTACATGGTTATTATTAAAGCCTTGTCAGATCGGATTTGCCTTTACCCTGGATTTGGTGACATAACTGGATAATACTGTTATCAGCTTATTCTTTTCAATGTTATATCTATGTTCTTTAATTTTACTGTTTAATAATCTATTTGTGGAACCGATACATACTAGTTTGCTATTAAATCTCTCATCTGAGATTGGGATGTGATGTACATCTGGTGCTAGTTATTCTTTCAATCACCATAACAGTGATTACAGCAACTCAGTCACACAGATTAAAATTGTTTTATTTACAGGTAATTGTAAATAAAACAATTTTAATCTGTGTGACTTGAGTTGCTGTAATCTTATACACCAGTATGATAAGTCCTATTAATAGAAATACAGTTATGGTGATTGAAAGAATAACTAGTTTGAATTAAGGACATTGATGCATATTAATTACATATGGTGCTATTTATAAACAGTTGCATTTTTCGATAGCAAGTGTTCATATTTAAATATTTACCTGTTTCCTCATAAATTGATTTGAGCCCACTGTACATCTGGGTTCAGTTTGGTCGTGCTGTTTCATTTTGGTTTTCTTATGGGAGTTTGCTTCTGTTTATTCAGATTGTAATTTTGGGCCAAATACTGTATTAGCTTATGTAACTACATGTAACAGAAATTTTTTCTATGCTCTTAAGTTCCTTCACAGTATCTAATATATCAAAACACCTAACCAACACTCTAAAGCAGTGGTGTGCCGTGACATTTGATTATAGGGAAGCTGTGTTTCTATAAGAAGCAGACTTCCAGGGGCAATTAGTTGATCGTGCATCAGTGATGGTCTAGGGTCCATTTGTATTCATTTGTTCGATAAGCCATAGACTTCTTTAAATGTATTTTTAATATCACAGTTACATTCTGAATTGCTAGCCATGACTTAAGGACTACAATTAAAAATAAAATAATAAAAACTTACTTGGAGAAATAAAAAATGTGTAGTAGATATACATACCTGGTACAAAATATTCTTCAATTGCATGAATATACTTTTAAAGAAAATTATAATTAAATATGACTTTGTAAAGAAACACACACAAAAATAACATAAAATATTCTTTACTTTTAAAATAATGTACGGCCCATCTAATGAATTTATGTGGCCTGTGATCAATCTTTCAATATTAGCTATTCAAGTCTGAATAGCTCGATGAAAAATTCTGATGCCTAAAAAACATTTATGTCCCTAATTCCCTAATCTCTTAATTATTTAACTACTTCTTAAGTAGAAATAAGTTGAAACTGGTGGCTTTGTACTTGAATATTTGTAGTCTTGGGAAAGAAGTGGAAAAACAAATTTTTATGACAACAGATTCATAAATCGTAAATTTAAGGAAAATAAATTCTAGACATTTTTGTATCTTGTGTGTATCATTCATTACATTTAGTTGTAAATGATGTTGCCAAATAGTTCATTTTTTAAACATTGTATAAGAATTGTACACGTTTTTCCTGCATTCCCTTATAGATGGGACGTACTAAATTGTAATATCACTAGTTTAACATTGAAATCTGTAATTAATCTGTAAGTAATACAAGATGGGAGAGCAGAATAAAAATATCAAATATTTTAATGGATTTTTTAAAACTCCTGTCAATTATACAGAACTATCATAAAAACGTACCAGTAAACTCCTATCAGTGGGTTAAGTTATAAATCTACTCGTGATTTATTCATTCATTCCGCCACTGATATTCAAATATGCAATAGCAATTTTATCGTTTTTTTACACATGTAATATAGAAATTTGTAATAAGATACATAGTGCAGTTATAATAAAATATTAATTTTAATTAATGTAAAGAACATTAAAATATGAAAATAATCGCTCAATATGTATTTATATTTCAGAAAATACAAGGGAAGTGGTGCTTCCACTGCTTCCAAACACGGCACATTACTGGTTAAGTTATAAATCTACTCGCGGTTCACATAATGGGCAATGGCAGCCACATATCTAGCAGGCAGGCGGCTAACAGCCCAGAACCGGTCCTGGATAGAATCATTGGAAGTGTTGTATGTGTAGCTTACACCGTGAGGTTGGTGCTCTGTAAAGCGCATGCACGAATGCCTATAATCTGGCTGTTTTACACCATTCAAATATTTTTGTCATAGAAGCTGTCCCGTATTCGACATCATGACACTTCCACTGGGAATATCCAAATACGAATTTATATTTGAATATACAATAGCAATCTTTTTTCACATATAGTGTAGAAATTTGTAATAAAAAACGTTCAAATATAAATACATATTGTGCGATTTTCATATTTTAGAAAATACAAGGGAAGCAGCACTTCCACCGCTTCCAAGGATGGCAAGCCACTGTTCTAAAGGTTGTTTGTATGAGTAGGGATCACTGGAGCCTACAGAAATAAAAAAAAGGGATGATATTTAAGTTTATAGTATACTTTAGTAGCAATACTTCATCTCTAAGCACAATGTTTAAATGCAAAAAATGTACTGTGGAATTACTGTGTCATTCTAGCTGTATGAGTTGTTGTTAATTCTCACTAAGATTTTGATTTCCATATGAGAATATTGTCTATATACCTAGTGTAAAGAATAATCTCTGG